GAGCCCTAGTCACTGTCCTATGGCTCTGGTCCCTCTGATTTTTTGTTGTTGTGGTTGAAGCAAGATCATTTTTATTGAAACTCTTTAGAGAGATGTAGGGAAAGAAAGGGAGAAGTACATGTTCGAGAGAGAATACGGGCCAGCAAAGAAACAGAGACAAACAGGCAAGGGGCTCGAAGAGCAACCCCCTCACTGTGTGATTTTTTATTTTGCAATTTTATTTTAGTTTTTGTTTTTTGGGTAGTACCCAGTGTTCAGGATCCCTATCTCTGTGTTTAGCGGTCCCTTCTGGCCTTACTCAGGGGTCTCGTGGGGCACTGGGCATCAAACTGGGGCCAGCTGCGTGCAAAGCAAGTCTCTTAACCTCTGTACTTTTTGGTCCTAGCTGGAAAATATTTTAAATCATGATAACGGGCTAGAGAAAGAGTACAGCGTTAAGGTGCCTTGCATGTGGCCAATTGATGGTCCACTGAGCACTGCTAGGCGTGAACCCTGAGCACAGAGTCAGTCATAAGCCCCGATCACGGGTGGTAGATATTCTTCCCAACCCCTGCTCTGTCGCACGTCACGATAGAGTCCCTGTGAGGTTTTCTTTCATTTTTCAGAAGATAGTTTTCAGCAGAGCAGCTCTTGATGTGTGGGATGAGGGATTCTGGGACGTTTTGTCCAGGCTGGACTGTTGTCCAGAGCTCCCATCCAGATTTCTCTATTTACGGGGGAGAGAAACGGATTCCCCCGTGGATAGGTCTAAGCCAGCCCCGCGGCCCCCCTCTGCACAGGTGACCTGCTGCTGTACTTCGGGTCGCCAGCCAGGTCTGGAAATGTGTCGGTGGCTTCCGGTCCTGGAAGGGCCTGATTCTTGAACAGGCAGCTCCTGCAGGACAGAGAAAGGCACTGAGAGCGTTGGATGTGGGCACGATCTTGCTTGCCTGCAGTAGCTCAGCTGAGCCCTGTGCACGCAAGGCAGATGGAATCACATCCTCCGGTGGCCTCAGGAAACCGGGAGACCCCCATCAAAGGAGGGCTGTGCGTGAGGTGTTCCAAAGACATCCCCTCCGTCAGTTCATGGCTGCTTCCTTCTGTCCCAGCTTTGCATCTCTGTTCCTCCTCTGACTTCACAGAAGGGCACTGGAGCAGAAAAGAACCTCGGCTCTGGAACTTTCCCACTGCAAGCGGGCTGGCACCCGGTTCTGGTTACTACTGTTCATTGAATGAATAAAAACGACGCACAGGGCATGGCGGCAAGAGGTCACACATCTCTGCCTTCAGTTTTAGTCTTTCCCCTTCCCCCATGGGGTGAGCCCCGCAGATGACGCTGTCTGGGTTGGAGTTGGAGGTGACCCAGGTGCCTTTAGCCCCAAACCCCTCTCTAGCTGGGGAAGCTGGTATAAAATGCAAAAGTCCCCCTTTTGGGGACTTGCTCCTGATGCCCCATCTAAGTAAGGAACGCGGCGCTGCTTAGTGGCGGCGGGTGACGGGCCTCAGCCCTGGGACCCGCGGGTGCTCGGTGCGTCGCGCGAGCCGGGGGTGTGCGGGGTGCGTGGCGGGTGCTGGGGCCCGGGAGCCCCGAGAGAGGCTTTATTGTTACACTGTAACGAGTCTGATTAACATGCTCCCAACACTTTCTCTGAGTTTCTCGGGCTCCTAGCAACGGCGCACAAAGGCGCGGGATTGTCCCGGGCTCCGCGGGGACACGGGGCCGCCTTTGATCTGCCACCATTGCAGCGGGGCCGCTCGAGGCCCCGCGGTCCCGGCCGGTCGCCGCCAACCCCGACGGGGCGCCCGAGCGGCGAGGCCCGCGCAGCGACCCCGGTCCGGGATACCAAGCGGCCGGCGGGGAACGCGGGCTCCGTGCGCCCTGGGCGCACGTCCTTTCCCGCGGCTCGTCCAGGCCGCGTCCCTTCCCGTCGGAAGAAACCCCAATGATTGAAAAGCGGCGATCTGCAGTGCGAAATAATAATAATAATAATAATAATAATAAATGATGATGATTTCACAAAGCACAAAAAAAAAAGTACAAGCGGAGCGTGGGTTCCTCGAGTCTCCAAAGACTACGCTTTTAAAAATTAGTTGGGGGCTGGAGTGACAGTCCAGAGGGTAGGACAAGCACCGCCAGGAGCAATTCCTGGAGTAATCTCTGAGTACCGCGGGGTGTGGCCACAAAACAAAACAAAACAAAACAAAAAAAGAAAAGAAAAAAAAGAAAAACAAGGGGAAAAAAAACAACCAACCACATTGGTGGAGAGAATTGGAGTTGGGACATTGTATACCTAAAACGCCATCCTGAATAACTTTGAACACCACGGTGCCTTCATATAAAAAAATTGAAAACAAGTAAAGGCACTAAAGCTGCTTGAAGGGCCGAACTGGTGCGAGCGTCGGAGAGCCCTGCTGGAACGCGAGGGCTCGGCTGCGGCTCGCGGTCCCCACCAGGCGCTCCTGTTCTCCCAATCACTTTCTCCCGGTCCCTGTTCGGATCGATTATTGGGAGACGCTGCCAGATCGCGTCGCGCCGCGGAGCCCGCGGGGACCCGCTGGCCGCCGGACACCCGGTTCGGTTCCCTCGCCTCCCGCCTCCCGCCGCCCCAACCCCCATCCCACCGCGCTTTCCAGGCTTTGGCATCTCCTGATTTTTCCTTGAACCCCTCGCTCGCGTTTGCGGGGTGGAAAGTCGCGGGGAGGGTCTGGGGGCTCCAAGATGCGCCCCGAATCTGGGGCTCAGCCCGAATGCGGGGCTGAGCCGTCCTGCTAAAAGGGAACGCAGATAAGATCTGCTCGTTTTTTTACCCCCGGGTTGGTGCGCTTAATTTCTCTAGAGGTTAAAACACATCCACAAACAAACAGTCCCCCAAAAATCAGAAACCCCAAACCCCGAAAAGAGAAGATGCTCCGCTTATTCAGGTCAACAGAAACCAGGAAAAACAGATTGTGCGCTAATTGGAAACCGTGTGCTCTTGTAAAAAGCATGTGCCCTTACCCGCCAACCCCCCCCTTAAAAACCGCTTAAAAAATGAGACTTTCCCCATGAAGGTCCGTTTTCTGGACTCCAGCAAACCACTCCCCCCCCCAAAAAAAAAACCCAAAACACTCAAACAAAAAACAACCAGCAACAAACCCACAAGGGGCTAAGGTCTTGGTGATTTTAGCTACACGAGTATTTCCCAAGGGCTGCACCCTTTCGTTTGTCCCGTTGACCTGGGGGAAGACGCACGAAGCAGAGTTTACTTTCAGATTCAGATTCAAACCCGGAGAGATGTGGGCTGGGAAGAGCCCCCCACCCCATACCCCGGGAACTTCCCAACTCGCTCTCTGGCAGCCGGGACTGTCACCCTCAAACTGATCCTAGGTGTGACCCTTTCTACATTAAAATGAGGGTGTCACCGAGCTCATTAAGACCTCAGTAAAACAATGAAGACATTTATCAGCCCCCTCCCCCCTCGGGCAAGGTATTAGGGGAATAAAACAATCTAAGCCACAGGGGTCCTATTGAGATTAATGAAAAAATTATGCAACCCCCCCCTACCAAAAAAAACCCCCTCAATTTCCTTATCCTGGGCTTTGCCACCATGGCCTTGCCCCTGATGATTTATTAAACTAATCTGCAGCCTCTGTGTGGGTACTGCCGGCGCAGTCTTGTCCGGGCTCATTTTCTAAGTAATTGTTTCTCATTAGTTCTGATAATGTTTTAATAGTGTTACCCATAATTTAGCCCCCAAGAATGAATCAAGTGTGTGTGTGTGTGTGTGTGCGCTTGCGCGCGCGTGTCGTGTGCGTGTGTGTGTGTGTGTGTGTGTGTGTGTGTGTGTGTGTATGGCCACAGGGCTTGTGATGAGATTGACACAAAAGAGAAACAGGTGGGGCTGAGTCCTTTCTCCATGGAACAGTCTGGGGGTGTCTGGCAGCACGTGAGGCAGTAGACCCTCAGCCCATCCAGCTCTCCCCCACTCCCCAATCTCTCTTCCCCATCCTCTATCCAGAGAGAAATTGGGGTGATTCTCTCCCAACAAACACCATCCTATCACGGACTTTTTTTTCCAAGAACATAAGACACCGAGGGTCTCTCGGACAACTTGGCCCCTACTGGAGCCCTGTTCGCAGACTCGGGGGGTGGGCTCTGACAGGATCCCTGCCTCCGGACCCCTGGCTGACAGATGGGGACACGTGGAAATCCCATCTTCGACAGGGTCTTGTGTGGCATGAGCTAAAAGGTGACCCAGTCCAATCGGGTGGGGACCCAGAATGTGGGCCTGCAGGTGGTGAGGGCAGGCTGGGTCTGGACGGGGCACCCCCAAGTGTCACTCGAGGCGGTTTCTCCCTTGGTCCACATGTTTGAGCTGCTCAGAGGGCCACTCCAGAACCTCTGACGTAGCTGCCTGCGTGACTGATGCTTTTCTGGTCTTCAACAACTAGTGGGGGGAGTGCTGGGGGCCAGAGGCAGGCTGCAGGCCTGGCTAGATGGAAGAGGATTTGCTTGCCAGGGCCTCGTTCTGGGCAGAGGGGTCTCCTGAGCACAGAGGTCTCTGTCAGCTGGCTGCTTCTCCAGGCCCATCACCCTAGCCCAGCCCTGTCTGCAGTCCTGAGGCCAGATGGGTAGAGAGGTCAGCTTCCTCCTTCCAGCCCCTTGGGTGGGAGGGGACCACAGTCTGGTTAGGAAGTTGGGTAGGGGGATTCACAGAGGAGGGGCGACAGCAGAAACTCAGTCAGCTCCCCAAGTTTGAGAACTGTCAGGTGTCTAGGGAGGTACCTTCCGGCTCACATCAGTCTCCGCATGTCTGGGGAACCGGGTCACCCCCTTTCTGTCGCGCACTCAGGTGGAGGTGCTGCTGGCCTCTCCTGGGACCTCGTCTTCCTCTGTGCTCAGCTCTAGGCCTTCCTGAGGGACTTTTAAAGTGGGGGACATGCCCTGGTTGGGGTCCACTGGAGGGGAAATGAACAAAAAAGGCGGCAGGAGGAGGAGGTGGAAAATGAAAATAAAAACACACACACACAACTGTTTTCTATTTACAAATTTAAATAAACAGAACAGCCTTCCCGCGGTGTTGGTGCCGAGGTCATGAAAAGGTTGGTGTCGAGTTTAAAACTTCCCTTTCTGTTAATTTCTTAAAGAACCGTCGTCCGAGGCTCCCGTACAAAGGCTCATGATTTAATGAGGAGCAGAAACAAAATCTCTGATTGTTGGTGTTTCAAATTTCATTGGCGTCCTCTGGCAAACACGAGTTGATCTTTGGAAGCTTCAATACCCTTGAGCTTTCAGAGGAAGAGCACTCGCTGAATGGGGAAGAAAGGCCGGTTGTTCTGTTTATTTACCCTTCCTACAAGCCGGGTTAACCTCGCCACTAAGCCCGTTAACCACAGCGCCACCGACCTGCGGCCCATCCCTAATGTCATGCAAATCTCCGGGGACCCTACGCCCAGCCCCGCACATTGTGTCCCTCAAACTCGACAAGTTTATTGTGGACAGCCCCCCCCCCGCCCCCCCCATCGGGTCTGCACTCGGACCCTGGGGGGTGGTGGGTGTGAAACAGGCTCTGGAGCCAACAGTTCTGCAGGGTGGGAGGGGGAATGGGAGGAACCGGTGTTTGCACATTTCTTCATTTTTTATTTAGTTCTGGGGCCACACCTGTCCGTGCTCTGGCCATACTCCAGGCTCTGCGCTCAGGGAACCATATGGGGGCCTTGGAGTTGAACCCCAGGTTGGCTGTGTGCAAGGCAAGCCAGTGTCTAACCCGCGGTATTATCATCGACTCCCTCCTCATTGATTTGTTAATTGCTTCAAACGGGGAATCCAAGCCTTCACCCAGGATGAGAGCTTTCCCCTGTGGAACAGGGATATTTCGCATGGGGGTGGGGTGGGGGTGGCAGCTAATAGCAATCTGTTTTGAAGATTTATTTTTAGATCTTTTAAAAATGGAGGTGGCCATACCCAGCAGCACTCAAGGCCTACTCAGGGCGCTTTGCTCAGGATTTCTTTTTTTCTGCAGGGGGATGAGAGGGTCTGACCCTGCAATGCTTAGGGGTTACTCCTGGCTCTACACTCAGGAATCACTCCCTGATGTTGCTCAGGGGACCATATGGGATGCCGGGGATTGAACGCAGGAAGGCCGTATGCCAGGCAAACGCCCTTCCCTCTGCTATTGCTCTGGCCTCTTCGGGGATTACTCTTGGTAGCGCTGGGGACCAGATGGGGTGCCAGGGACCAAACCAAGGTAGACACCCTGCTTGCTTTACTATTTCTCTGGCCCCAGATTTATTTGGAGAAGGCATCTTTATCAGTCAATTGGACAGTTAGTGATTGTTACAACCAGCTCTGTTTTGGGACCACACCTAGCAGTGCTCAGGCTTTACTCCTGCCTGGGCTTGGGAATGACATGAGGTTCTGGGGGGTGGAACCTGGTTGGCTGTATGCAAGAACCCTAACTTCTGTGCTATCACGCTGGCCCCTGAATTATTATTTTACCAAAGCCTTGTGTTGGGGTTGGAGAGATAGTACAGTGGATAAGGCACTATCCCTGGGATGTGGCTCACTCCTGCTCAAGCCCTAGCCCCCAATATGGTCTCACAAGCATCACCAAGAGTGATCCCTGAGCACAGAGCCAGGAGTCAGTCCCAGGCACTGCTGAAGTTCTTCCCCCCCCACAAAAAAAAAAAAGAACAATGTTGATTTTTTTTTCTTTTTGGGTCACACCTGGTGATGCACAGGGGTTACTCCTGGCTCTACACTCAGGAGTTACTCCTGGCAGTGCTCAGGTGACCATATGGGATGCTGGGAATCGAACCCGGATTGTCCGCATGCAAGGCAAATGCCCTACCCGCTGTGCTATCTCTCCGGCCCCAACAATGTTGATTTTTGAGATTCAATTGGCTGGTGAGGTGACAAAGGCGTCTTCCGATGCTGAAGGGCTGGAGAAGGAGAAGGTTCCGGGTCGGCCCCCTGCCCTAGACTTGTGTCCTGGGTCCTGGTTGGACGCTACACCCACCTGATGTTGAGCTCTGGGTAATGGGTCATTTTTCCTTGATGAACGTGGCAAGCGTGACAATATTCTGGGCTTGCTTCAGTAGCGGCATGTCGATCATGCTCCCCTGGAAAGTAAAGGCCCCCTGGAAAAGAGCAGAATCCCTGAGAACGTCTCTACCAACATTTCAGCGTCCACCTGCATTGTACCAACTGCTGGGAAAGCCAGGAAAAATGACAGGGCACAGACTTCTGTTCTCCCCTCTCCCCAAAAGTGGGAACCATGAGTGGTTTGTTTTGGGGTTAGCTCTGTGCCCAGGAATCACTTCTGGAGAGGCGTGACCATACAGGATGCTGGCGATCAACCCTGCGTCGTCTGTGCAAGGCAAATACCCTGCTCGCTGTATTATCACTCCAGCCCCCTGTCAGTATTTATTTTGCTTTTTGGGTCACACCCAGCGATGCACAGGGGTTACTCCTGGCTCTTGCACTCAGGAATTACTCCTGGCAGCGCTCGGGGGACCTTATGGGATGCTGGGAATCGAACCCAGGTCGGCCGTGTGCAAGGCAATTGCTCTACCTGCTGTGCTATCGCTCCGGCCCCTGTCAGCATTTTAATTGAGAACAATAAACTTTAAGTACAAGGTATTAGTACAAGGTATTAGAATCTGTTTATTCAACTCTTGGAACCAAAAAGAAAATGACTGGAGAGGAGAAAGTACATTTTTTCCTTCAAGATGTTGAAGTCTTGGGGCTGGAGTAATAGCACAGCGGTTAAGGCATTTGCCTTGCACGCGGTTGACCCGGGTTCAATTCCCAGCATCCCATATGGTCCCCTGAGCACCGCCAGGAGGAATTCCTGAGTGCAGAGCCAGGAGTAACCCCTGTGCATCACTAGGTGTGACCCAAAAAAGCAAAAAAAAAAAAAAAAAAAAGATGTTGAAGTCCTGCATGGAATTTTAAAACCAGTAACATGCCCTGGCAACTTGTTTTTCAAAACAGCAATCAAGCTAAAATGCTAAAAGCTAAATGTTTCCTTCTTGCTGTAACAGAATGAAAGGAGACAGCCAGGGGCTGAGAAAACGCAAGGCAAAAACTGTCTGGCATATAGAGTGACCCGTTAGCTGGGGCACACTTGGGGAAGACTATCTGGTGACAAGGAACAGAGGCCATGGAAGAAATCATATGCCTGTTGAATGGGGGACAAGAAGGAGTATGAGATACGCTGGTCCTTGTTCGCAGGAAAAATACTGGGGAGCCTGGAGAGATAGTACAGTAGATAGACTTGCCTTGCACACTGCCAACCTGGGTCTGAGTCCTGGCAAGGCAATGACACCCTCAAACCTGTACACACACCACTACACTTACCCGACACACGTGTGCACATGCATGCAACGCTCACATATACACACACATGTGCACACCCCACACACGCACGCTCACATATACACACACCACTTACTACACGTGTACACACCCCACAATACGCAGCCACTTATACACACCCCACATCACATGTGCATTAACCCCACACATGCACACTCACGCGTATACATACCGCACACACAGACATGCTCACATAAACATGCCACATGTGTATACATGATACTGACACCCCCGTATGTATGCCATATACACCAATGTACAGACCATGTACCACACATATACACACCTCACATCTGCGTCCCAGAGACTCCCATGTGCTCTGTTCTCCAGGCTCCTCTTGGGGTCAGAGCCTCAGGGGATGCCCCCAGGGGTCCTCTCTCCCTTCCTCAGCCTGTCACAGTGTTGTCACTGTTTACACTGCTGGCTTTGCTGTGCCTTGAGGCCCAGGGAGGGCAAAGGTCATGTCTAATTTACCTTTGAACCCCCAGAACCCAAATCTACTCAGAGGAAGAGAGGAGGCTGGGCTGGTGTCTGAGGGAGGGGGCGCAGGGAAGCTGGTCCCCACAGGCCGCTCTGGCCTCATCTATTTCTCTCTTCACCTGTGTCTCCCACCTTCCTGGCCTGGCCTTGCAGGCAATTGACTGAACAGTTGGGGTGGAACTGAGTCTGTCACATTAGGGTTGGAGGGGGTGTGTGTGTCCAGGTCCAAGGCCTCAGGGCCTCCCTAAGGAGGGGCCAGTCAGATGGACGGTGAGGCAAAGAAGAGCTTCCTGGAGCAAATGTCCAGGTCAGGAGTCAGGCCAAGTGAGAGAGTGGGGCAGCCTCACAGATGACCAGGCAGGTGCCTTGAAGGACAATCCGGCCTCCCAATGCCTCTGGTCACCAGGAAACCAGTAGCTCAACCCTAATGAAGAACCACAGTATGAAATTCTGATTTTTCTATGGGCCCACTGATGGTGGAAGGGGTTCTCAGGGCCTGAGGTAAAGCAATCTGCAAGAGAGAGCACTAGTTAACAAGGCTTCCAGGCCCCTCAGCTGCCCACCTGTCCCAATAACACAGTGAGAGGGCTCTGTCTCTGCTTCCTGCAACTGGAACCAACTGGAACTCACTGGAGCCCAATAGAACCTACTGGAACTCACTGGAATCCACTGGAGTCTATTGGAACTCATTGGAAACTACTGGAACCCAATGGAATCCACTGGAACCCACTACAATCCACTGAAATCTACTGAAACACAGTGGAACCTATTGGAACTCACTGGAACACACTGAAACCTACTGGAACTCACTGGAACCCACTGAAACGTACTGGAACTCACTGGAACCCACTGAAACCTACTGGAACTCACTGGAACCTATTGGAACTCACTAGAACCCACTGGAACCTACTGGAACTCACTGGAACCCACTGGAACCCAATGGAATCCACTGGAACCCACTACAATCCACTGAAGGCTACTGAAACCCAGTGGAACCTATTGGAACTCACTGGAACCTACTGGAATTCATTGGAACCCACTGGAACTCACTGGAACCTACTGGAACTCACTAGAACCCACTGGAACCTACTGGAACTCACTGGAAAACACTGGAACCTACTGGAACTCACTGGAACCAACTACCGCCTCTGGTCCTTTACTCAGGGACTATTCCTGGGTCCAGGCACCCACAGGCCGGCTGACCTAGCCTGCCTGTGACTCTTAGGACCCTCCATCCACAGCGGCTCTAGGGGCTAGGGCGCGGGGCGCTCACCTTCCCTTAAGGGAAACAACACCCCCCCCCCCCCCCCCGTCCTGCTTCCGGCTACCATGGCCGATACTTCCACCAAACCATGGGCCCTGTAAGCACCAGAATATCTGTTTCCATAAAAAAATGAGGGGAATGAATCTTACTGGAAGACTCATTGCTGGAACAGAGAATGAAGTTAAAAAGCAGATGTTCAGAAAGCAAAGGCAGCACCCAGGCACCTCACACTGGCAGAAGGCGGCCTCAGCCGTGTCCAGGTCTGCGATAGAAGCTTAACAGAAGTTCTACCTTCTGAGCCCCGCCAGGAGGGGCCCCTGAGTACAGTCAGGAGTACGCCCTAAGCACTGCTGAGAGCCACCCCAAGCCCACACAGACTTCCACTGTTGGATGAGTTTTCACATGTTTGAGAATGACAGAACTGGAGTCAGACTTTTCAGCCCACTTTAGAAAGTTCTAAGGCCGTGGGAGCCCTGAGCTTTGCCAGGTGTGACGCCAACACCCCCCCCCCCCACACACACACACCTAAAGAAAGGAAAAATGAGGGGACCAGATAGAAAGCATAGTGGGCAAAGCACCAAGCACCTTCCTTATACGGCCGAGCAGCCGACCAGGGTTGGATCCCCAACACTGCCACATATGGTCCCCTGACACTGCCAGGAGTGGCCCCTAAGCAAAGAACCGGGAACAATCCCTAAGCACCACCAAGTATAGCCCCAAACAAAAAAACCAAAAGAAGTGAGTTTAGGAGCATAAAAAGAAATCATGTTTTCTATCCCAAATTTCTGCTCGGAAGATCTTACTGTAATTATTCATCAGAAACACAGGAGGACACGCTGAGAAGAAAAATTCACTAACAAGTAAATGACATTTTCAGACCCTTAATTAAAAAAGCTCGAGCGGGCCCAGCAACATCTCCATTGGAGACTTTGTTGTTACTGTGTCTGGCATATCGAATACTCTCGGTAGCTTGCTGGGCTCTCCGAGAGCTGGAGCGATAGCACAGCGGGTAGGGCGTCCGCCTTACACGCGGCCAACATGGCCAACCCGAGTTCGATTCCTCCGCCCCTCTCGGAGAGCCCGGCAAGCTACCGAGAGTATTCGATATGCCAGACACAGTAACAACAAAGTCTCCAATGGAGACGTTACTGGGCCCGCTCGAGCAAATTAAAAAAGGATACTTATATATGTATTTATAAGCAGGATCAAAGGCGGTGCCCCCTAGTTGAAAGTATCATAACGCTTTGCTTCAGAGATAAAAATCTTTAAAAATCATCACCGTTTTTTATTTTTTGAGTGGGGGGGTTTGGGTCTCATCTGACAATACTCAGGGGTTCCTCCTGGCTCTGCACTTAGGAATCACTATTGGCAGTGCTCAGGGACCATATGGGATGCCAGGGGTGGAACCTGGGTCGGCCACATGCAAGGCAAACGCCCTCCCCACTGTGCTATCACTTAGGCCCCATCACCGAGTTTTAAAAGATGTGGGTCAGGGAAATAACTCAGTGGGCGGGGGGCGACCCTGAAGCCCCCAAGTGCTTTAAATGATAGTCATAATTTGGTAGGGATCTTCATCATAATCTGAACTAAAGCTCAATGCCTCTTGCTCCTGGGGTCAGATGATTTACAAATGTGAAATGTCTCATATAAATAAGCTCAAGTTCAGCAGATCTTACTTGGCGTAAGGATGGCAGTTCACATCAGGCTAATCTGCTGGTACAGAAATTGCCCAGTGACATGCCATAAATGATGAAGGAGAAAGGGACTGTTGCTTCACCAGAGGGGGCTGGTTTGCCTTCTCATGGGAACAGTGGGAAGAGACCTCCAGTTCCTGCCTCCCAGAGCCGGACACAGGGGCCCTAGTAGCATTTATGTGGGTTTTTGAGGGGTTTGAGTCCCACCCAGTGGTGCTCAGGTACTATTCTCTGACCTGTACTGGGGCTGGAGGGGCGTCACTCCTGCTTCAGGGGACCATATGGTGCCTGGGATGGAATCTGGGCCCCCGGCATGCAGAGT